CATCCTGCTCCTCACAGATTAACAGCCTTAAGACCTTGATAATGCTTCATTGTGAAGATTGTAAGAAGTTGTCGAAGGGCGACGACGTGGCGGATCGGCGAATGTTAATTCTTCGCCATGAACAAATATACTGATGAATATACTGATGTAACTCGACTCCACATCATCAGATCTTTACCAGATTTCACATGTTTGATGAGACTCCAGGCCTGAAGACATCTGCAGGCCAATTATGAATCATAGTCATAGCGCCACCTACTGGTAACAGTCAGTTAAAGTCTTTATACTTTGGCTTGTTTCTCTTAGTAGGTAAATCAGATCAACATCAAGTTACTTCCACACAAATGTAAGAAGGTCATAATGCCAGTTCATGAAGCTTTTGATGTTTGGTCGAACGCCGTTGCCGTGGCGACGCAGTCTTCGCCATGAAAAACGAAGGTAATTTTGAGAGGCTAAAAATGCTCGAAACATAAGTAAACTTGGCACACAGATTAGAAGCCCAGAATGTAGTTATATAATATGATTTTATTGGTTCAGAGTGGCAAATCGGCTCAATAGCGCCCCCTACAAAATTCAGACGAAACAGCCCCCGCAGTACGTTTCACATAGATTTATAAAATTTGGTAGGCACATGTATCACATTTGGACTGAAAAAAAGTCTCTTGGAGCCATGCTCTAAACCAAACCGGAAGTCAGCCATTTTGAATTTTGTATGAATTTCTAGTGTCGTTTTTGCAATTTCCAGGCGCTCTACTTTAACGAACTCCTCCTAGGGAATTAATCAGATCAACTTAGAATTTGGTCAGAACAATCTAAAGACCTTAGTTAATAAAAGTTACTCAAAGTTGTTGTTTCGTTAAAAGCTGTTGCCGTGGCGACGCATTCTTCGCCGTGAAAAACAAAGGTGTGTTTGAGGGGCTAGAAATACTCAAAACATAACCAAACATGTCACACACATTCATTTTCTTAATGATCTTAACAGGCTTACATTCATGATTGTATCGGAGGTACACTAAACATTTGACAACATGATCTTGCTACGCTGCTGGTCGACGCAGGAAATATCTTCTAACTCGTGCACGCAGTGTAGATGGTCAGAGAAATGCATGGCCGCATCACCCAGAGTCCTTTCAGTATCCTCGACGTGCGTGAAGTTGCGAGGGCCCAATCAATGCTGCTTACAGCTTTAATTATTATTATTATCAGTATTATTATTATTACTATTACTATTATTATTAATTATTATTCATTATTATTACTATTATCATCATTATTATTACTATTATTATTATTATTACTATTATTATTATGACTATTATTATTACGATTACGATTATTATTATTATTATTATTACTATTATTATTATTAGTAGTAGTAGTATTATGAACAGACATCTGCAGTTTACTGATTCATCATATTTATATTTTGGTGGGTTCATACTTCACTAATGAGTTTGAAAATAGTGACATTACTTCATATTGTCCATCGTTTACTTTCATCATTCATGTCATAGAATAACATTTTATTCTTCTGATTCTGGGACGAACGCTTCATTACGTCTCATGTTCACATGTGAAAACATGGATAATCTGTGGTTTATCAATATGTTCACAAAGATGTCCTCCAAATAAACACACGGTGATGAAGAGGAGCAGGGATTAAGATGAAGTCAGAGTGATATGATTCAGGATTAAAGGACTGATGGATGTGTTGTTGTGGTCTCAGACCTCACTGTGTTGAACATGTTGGACAGTCAGCTGCTGTTTTCTATGAAAATCACGTCTTATTTGAGATGAAGATTTTGTATTAAACATGTTAGGATCCATCTTTGAACTGAATGTGATAAACAACGTGCAGACAGGTTGAATCTTTAAAGCTGAACCTCAAACACTGAGCGATCCTTCATGCAACAGATTATTAAAACATATTAATAATGAAATAACACTTTTTTAAAGAGACACATGTTGGGAAACAAACAGAAGCTGCTTGTTTGTTCTCTTCTTCTGTGATCTTAAGAAAAGACCCAGCAGTTATTATTATGAGTTATTATAAAATATCAATGACTTCTCTGTAAAGGATAGAAACACAAAGAGAGAGTTTGAACATTTCATATCTGATGACTTGAACAGTCCTGAACCTCTGAGAGGATCAACCACATGGATGAAAACAATATTATCATCAAACATAAGATCATGTGTCATAAAACTCGTCTTTGTTTCTTTATTAAAACTGATTTCTGATGCTTCTGTTGACTTGTTTCATAGCATCATTCATTCAGACACAATCATCTGACTGCGTTGTTAACATGATGATTTCATCTGAGACAAACTCACTTAACACTATAGGATGTGTAGATATTAAAGAAAATGTCAAAGAATATCTCAGTGTCATTGTTATCTAAAGGTTCAGCCTCTGCAGCGTTTATTCACACATTCATGCAGATATTTCAGACGTTCATCGTCTGGTGGAAGTAAGAAATGAAGAAATATGGAAGTAAAA